TTAGAGAAATTAATGATAATGCATATAAGCTCGATCTGCCTACAGATTTTGGGGTTAGTCCCACATTTAACATTGTAGATTTGAAGCCATATTTGGGAGAAGAAGAAGAGCTTGAGTCGAGGATGACTCAAATGCAAGAAGGGGAGGATGATGAGGACATCAACACCAATGATACATCCACGCCGACACAAGTACCAGTTTCTAGTCCTATTACTCACGCCCATGCTCATCAACTTAATCATCAAGTAAGTTCACTCTTGAGTTCCTATCCATCATATTTAGACCATGGAGACGCGTGCACTCTTGTTTTGGTTAGAAACCAGGGAGAGGACCGAAAAGGAAAAGGATTCGCGCAGGCTGGATTCGAACTCCAGGACAGCTCCAACTTGTGATGGTCACCACGGTCGCATATAGACTCGGATTGGGACATTAAAGTACTTTATGAAATCCTTATGAAGTCTATTTTCACATGGATCTAGAATCATGTCCATATCTATTCTGAGGCAATGACCGAATTACTACAGAGAGGTTTTTCTGTCCAAAGGTGCTGCATCGCCTTAGTTTGGCCAAATGGGCCGTGTATCAAGTCAGGTCCATTAGGAACATGTCCTAGGGTTGGAGCACCACCCCAACACCCTGGTGGTCATCCCTCCACCTTCATATACCCCTTAGCCGCCACCAAAAACAGGGGGGTTTTGATTAGATCAAGTTTAGCTCTCGCTACTTGCTTGTAAGCGCGTGTGCTGGATCAGCTGCCCGTCTTCTTGTCTCTGGAACCCCACCTTATTTGAGATTGAGTTTGAAAACCTTCATCTTCATCTAGTAAATTCAGTACTTATTATACTTGTCCTTGCTAGTTCTTCGATTACTTGCAGGAGGAGTGCCCTAGTGGCCGGGTGACGTGCTCCACAAGATCGCGACAACAATTAGAGGTGGTGTATCGGTTGCTAAGGTGCAGCTTGGAAGGCTATAGTCGGGCCATGAATGTCGTCTCCATCTACTAATCGAGTTATCCCACGCCCTCTCATCGAAAGTTCGGATTCAACCCTAGCGGGTTCATACTATCTAGAGATTTATCTTTTGAAAAACATAAAAATACTTCATGATGGGCTCCTGTATGACAAAGCTTAAATTTCTACCAAAGCCAAATATGATATTTAGATTATGAAAACTTCCACTCATATATGCTACTTGTTTTGCATTGAGTTTAGTCAAGCTTTGTTGACCCTTATGAGAGGTTTGTTTGCTCTTAAAATCAAGATCACGTACACACCACCCACATATGCACTACTCCTACACTGGGGGTAGGCGCAACAACATGTCATTCCATCTAGATCCACCCAAGAATGTTTTACTCCTACACTGGAAGAAAACACCAAAAAAATGCGTGTTAGGTTTCCACTCCAAATAAATGCTCTAAGTTTTTGTTTGCTATCTCTCAAAAGTTTTGTTGCAGAAAAGAGACATGGGGCTATGCAAAAGTTATTCAAAAAAAAGAAAAAAAGTGGACAAGTGTCCGAGATATTGAAAACAATGGGTACTTAGATGCCCATCTGAAAAAAGAGAAAAAGATGAATAAGATAGCCCCTGTTTTCTTGCAAAAGAATTTTGAAGTTTCAAAAGAGAGATATGTTTTCAAGGAGCATAGTAGAATTAGGTTAGCCACCATATACTTCCACACACATGCACATCTTGATTTAATTGTATGACTCAACTCTCTTTGGATCCAAGGTTTGACTTACAATATATGTATTGCAAGTATGCTCTTTCATGTTTTTTTCACTCCTATGAGCTCCACATAAGCCTTAGTTGTAGGAAAAGAAAGGCATAACATTACTATTGTCCTGGTGAAGATCCATAAATACCACATATATTGAGAGACTTGAGAGTGTCATACAATGGAAGCTTTGAGTTTTATTTTGAAAACTTATAAAAACTCTGGAATAATGGTTGAGCAAAGAACTTGAGACATAGTGCTTGACTTGATCGTTCTGTCTTTCAATTGCTCAAGACCCAAGTGAAGGCTAAGAAGTCCTATGGTTGAAGGTAATATGGGTAAGTTTAAAAGTCAGATCGGTTCATTATAATCCAGAGGAGAATTTTTGTTTGAACGTATATGTACTTTTGAGGAGTGAAAGCATCGACGCAACTCCTAATCCATTTACTGAGTTTAGCTTTGCTAAGGGACTAGTAAGGTTAAGCTTAGAGGAGTTTGTTGATGGTACTTAACAACTATTATAAACCATCAATATAACATGCATAAGAGCATAAATATAATCACCAATGAAGGTCTAGGGGTTTAAACTAACAAATTCCACAAGTTTTGGTGAATCTATATTTTCTGCAGGGTTTACCCAGAAAACCATCATGGTGGACCTAGATGTCAGACTTAATCATGCTTATCCATAGCGAAAACAACACCAGAAGGTTCTAGAAGACTCGAGAGGACACCACAACGAAGCGGAGGTGAGGCACCGCCACCTGCAGGTCGGTCGGCCCCTAGGGCCCACCTATCAGCCCCTCGTTGTTATATCGGTTCTCCACCGCTTCTTAGATTGTATCTACGCCATTTATTTAAGTCGGTTTGATCCGAGGGCTCAGGATTGACGCTCTAGCCTATATATATCAGCCCCTGCCACCCCTGGGGAAGAAGTCATTTGAGAAGACAGAAACCCTAATCATCCTCAGAGCTCCACCATATTTTAGGGCATAGCTAGTTAGGCTAGGTCTAGAGGGAGGCAAGCAGGCTTCGCTTCGATTCTCGATCGTGTCAAAAGCGTGGTTAGGTATAATCTTTGTACCCCATCTCTTTTGTATCTCTCATTACTTTTATATGTTTGCTATAATTGTTATGACATTCATCTTCATATTTATCATATTCCTAGTTATAATGTTCATCGTCTACTTTGATTATAAACTTAGTATAGGTAGATTATCATCATATTCATGCATAAGTTCGTATAACGCTTGCTCTAAAGTACACGAGGTGAGTGGTTGACATTGTGTAAGCGTGGTGCTTATAAGTTATTTGCCTACGGATACACCCTATATTTCGGGTTATGTGGTAGATTACGGATGTGATACTCCCGTTGAGTCCTTTGTAGTCCACTCCCCGAATATAGGTATACAAGTAGGATCTAGTTACGAAAGAAGACAAGCTCTGTTCTTAATTTTCCTTAGTAGTATCCCTTATGTGTAGATATGAAGTTAATTTTAGCCATGATTACTAGGTGTAATTGCATTAATCAATATATGCTTTGACTTGTAATTAAGAATGACTTAGGAATTATTTCTCTAATATTCTACTTAACCATGCTAATGCCATAGAAAGGAGTACTCTGAGTGATTAATGATTAGTTATTATGCACCATTCATATATACATTTATCTCTTGACTTACCCCTGTTGTGAGTAGAATATTGGTTATGGTTTACTTCTCTATCACTAGTATAAGTTATCAATATATGTCCATATCAGACATTCTCTGAAGTAAAAATATAAATAACGATACCTGGAATACTCCTGGGTGAAGTGCTACAATGGTATAATTATCTGTGCGCTCGTAGATCTCTTTCATATATATATATATTTATATATATTCTTCCTAGTCACATAAAATAATAAAGAACTACTCTAGTAGTAATACTAGGTAGTACCAACAGGCATCTCTGGCATCATCACTAGGGATGATAACCTGGTAAAGTAACGTTAAGAGATGTAGACATATATTAGGTGACTACTAAAATAAGTGACAAGTTAATAAATACCAACAAATACACACTCGATCATCTCTGAGACTGGACGTTGGGCTCCGGCCTGAACCAATATAAATCCTCATGTCTTTTGGATATAACCATTGTCTTCCTAGAGCAGCGCGATAATCGTATAAGTTTACTAGTCCGGTTTACAAAACACCGACACCATGCGTGCCTGCATCTATAGTACCTCCGTCCTGGATTATCATCGCTCCAGGAGATCCACTTTGGGCCTTCAGGTTGTAGCGACAGAAGACCGCCGGCTCATAGGCAAGAGGCCCTTAACGGTAAGGGATTAGGGACCTCGCATGCCCTCCATGGCCTGTCCGTGCTGACGAGTGTGAAGACCTGGCACTCGATTCCGCCATGGGAGCAGAGGAATGCGCCGCCCTCCTTCAGTCTACCTGCTCCGGTCTCCCAACCCCGCCTCTGCAGGTGCTCGCGAGAGCGACACGGGGGCTGCACTGCTGCGGCCGAGACTGGCGGAGGCGGGCACGCGCTCCTGAGGGGCTGGTAGCGCGCTGAGGGGGCCGGGCTGCGCGGCTGGCGAGGGCACCCTGGCAGGGCAGCGTCGCTGGGGATTTGGGCGAGGCGCAGGCAGTGCGGCCTCGCTGACGGAACGGAGACGGGTTCCTTTTGTTATGCGCCACATACACTTTGCGAGGGGGGCAAGGCCCAACATGTCTAGCGTGTCCACCTTGTCCAGGCTGGACGGTCACGTGTGCAAAACCGTCTAGGAAAACCACCATTGGGGTTAATTGACTGATTGAGACAATTTTAATGTGTTAAATATCTGGTTTTATACTTGTTATACTTGCTGTGTTGAGTTGATACCTGTCCAAACCGCAGGGGTGACGTAGACTTTTTTGTTTTGTTACAAACGATTTAACTTTTTTTTAGTGCCTAATGCGGAGCCCTCCAAAACACTCTCCCTCGCCAGCATTGTACCTGTGTACCTGCCCTAACAGAACCGCCGCCGATGAACGCCTCCGTCGCCGGTTCGCGCGGCCGCCCAGCCCTGCGCTTCCTCTGCCCTAAGATATCCCTACTCTCCCCGCCCTCGCACTCCTTGCTGCGCTGGCTCGTCGGTGCACCTCGCGTCCTCCCTCGCTTCACCGTCGCTGCTGTCTTACTTCCCACTCACGGCGACCACGCTGCCCCTGATCTCCCCAGGGAAGCAGGCAAGTCTCACCAACCCACTCTCTCAACCACTCATGGTTCCGCCTGACGATCTCCCTATACTTCTATGCCCCACGCAGACGAAATCCGGGGGTTGCTGCCGCGGGGTTTCGACATCATCGGGGCACTGCTCGTGGGGGGAGGGGGTTCTGATGCGGACGTCACTCGCGCACTGGAGCAGGCTCGGGCGCTGAGGGAGCTGCTGTTTGGTGTGGCGACTAGCCATGGCTTGGTCGGAGGCCACATGGATGCAGCCACCGGGGATATTCGATTTGTTGTATCTGAGAGCGCAGGGACGGACTCGGTGGAAGGGTCTGTGGTTACATGGGAGGATGAGCCGGGGAGGTTGTTGTGGGAGAAGGGATGCCTCCTGCGCTGCGAACTGCCGCTGAAGCTTCCACTCTATCTTAGGCCTGATGTGAATTCTGGTAAATGCTCTAAGCTTACCTGCCTATTTAATCATTTACTGTACAAATGAATGGGCAAAAGTTGAATCAATCATGATATGATGTGTCTTGACATCTATTTGAAGAACTTGGAGTTCTGCGAATTCTTTTTGTTGCAACCGTTTCAATTTTTTGGATTATTATATATTGTGTTAGGATACTGCTTCTACCTTAGTATGTGCTTAGAAAAAAATTATTGTTCTTAGCAATTCTCATTTCAGTACCCACCCTATGATCTGTGTGAAGCTAATAATTGGTTGGATAAGGTGGCAAGTTACTACATCTTGCATAGCTGGAGGGTTTTTGTTTCAACTATGTGATTTCTTAAGCCTGTCAAATATTCAATCATGAAAGAAGCTATTAGAGAGCCTGTGCATTGCCATAGATATTCAATAAACATATAGAGAATCTAGAATCTAAAACCAAATAATATGATTGTAACAACATACATGAAGAGGTGGATCGCCTCTTCCTTCTTGTTCTAACTGAAACTAAAATTTTGCATCAAATCAGTGAGCTAATATAACAATTCAAATTAATCAAATATTAAAATGGCGAACTGTGTCTGTGAACCTATTTATCATGAGCAAATTTGTTACTAATTTCTAACTTGCACATAGAGTTTGCATGTACGTGCAGTCGTAGATCCATTCACAGAATATCCTTTAGAGGTGAAGGTGGAAGAACATACCGCTACAACTAACACCAGTGTAATTTTTAAAGTTGTAATTGGCGAAGAACAAAAAGGTTTGACTGTGCATAATCATGTCTGACTGCACTAGTTGTTTATATGAAATCTGTTTTTTTTTTGCTCTTTTTATGATATAAACAATTGTATCGGGTAGTTAGGTGCCAACTATCTGCTTCTGAAGGGAATGAGATAACTTTGTTTTGTGTTACTTTTTTGAAGGCATCGAAGAACGATTTTCTTCACTTATTGAATATACAGTTGCTAAACTCAGAGATCCTCATGTATCGTATTTAGTTGAGGGGCCAATTACATCTAGTGAATCACATCTTTCTATTATCTTGCGTGGTGATGATTTAAGCTTTGATTCACATACACATGGAAACTCAAGAACGAACTATTGTACCACAAGTATTGTATCTTGTTCAGAATTCTTCACAGAAAAGAGGCACAACCTCTCATTGACAAGAGAGGTAAGCTGATACTCAACCAAACTTGTTCTTTAAAGTTATTTTTTGAGGACTGTAGTTACTATCGAATTGGCTCGCTTATCTTTCTTGTATGAGCATCAAAATTGAGTATAATTGTTGTTCGTGAAGATTTGTTATAAATTGAACTGAGGGGTTGTGTGTCAATGTAAAATATATGAAAGCCAGCTGCTAATGAGGTGCCATTTCTTTTCTGGAGTTCTATAGTTGGATAAATGCATGCAGAGTGCTGTTTCCATGCATACTTCTGTATCACATGATATCTTGGGTCAAAAATTTCTACAATTTCTGTTTGCTAGGATGCAGATCCAATTGCAATAACTGTCAACCAATCAGCGAGTAGCTTGAAGCCTGGCACTACCCCTGTGGTAGAGTATTTTCCTGGTAATTATGTTACCCGTGTTAAAACTCTGCTTCTCAAAGTTGACTTTTTCACCATAGTGCTTTAAATATTACCAGCAGACATACATTTTCTTTCTTAGCGAAATTATGTAAGGACCTGTTTGAATCCTATGAATTGAATCTGATTCAAGTAATAGGATTCCAGCAATTGCTTTCATGGAAATTGAATTGACCAGAATTTAATTAGAATATAACATTCTTGTTTGGATGTACGCATAATTTATTTCCAAGAATTAAATTACAAAAGCTGTTTGGATAAGAAAACGTGGAAATCATCAAACCCCTTATCTGTTTCGTCTCCCGCAACACACGTACCCAGCCCTGTGGACGATGACACCTTGGACCAGCCAGCGGCCACGGCCATGGCACTGTTGTGTCTAAGTTGCTGTGATTGCCTCCTTCCCATGCCACCTCCACCTGGCCCTGCCACCTCCTTGTAGAGAATCCACGCACATGAGAGAGGGAGAGAGATAGAGCACATGCCAACAATCTGTGTCGAGCAGTGAGAGAGAGATGTAAGACATAATCTGCTGCTGATCTCTCTCTTGCTGCAGCAGAGTTGGTATTTGGTCAGCTCGGCTGTCCAGTCTCTACTGCTGTAGCACTATGGCAATAGGATACCTCTAGTACCTTAGTTGGTAGCTATTACATCAGTCATGTCTTGGTAGTGGGCTGATCTAAGCTTTGTACTGCTAGTACTAGGAGTAGTTGGTGTACCTTAGGAGTAGGTAGTTGGTGTACTCACCAACAACTATGTACCTGGTAGAGGTACTAGCACTTGTATATATATCACACCTAAGGCAATGCAAAAGAGCAGTTCAGTTTGCCACATCCAGAAGCAGATCTTTCGGCCAGCGCTGGACTTAGTGATGTGTGTGAGCTGTTCTCAATATCTTCTTCTACCTCTAGCCATAGTGAGTGAGTGTGCTGGTAAGCTTACTGCTTACCTGTGCAGGGTAGCCGAGGGACCAACAAGCGATGCCGACCACTCTGGCGGAACAGGGAGGCCATGAACCACCGATCGAGTTCACCTCCACCCACCGACATCGACGAGTACGTGGACGCTTTCCACGACGGCGAGGAGGTCCGGTTCAGGCGGGTGGACAACATCGTCGGCGAAGGGGGAGCGCCTGGGTTGGCCAGTTGTTTTCTCGACGACCCAGAGCTGCTCCTTGTTAGTGCAGAGGAGCCACCGACGTTTGCAGTGGCTGAACGCGACGACAATTGGCGCCGGGCGATGTTGGAAGTGATGAAGGCCGTCGAGGACAATGAGACATGGGAACTGGTGGATCCACCGGTGGGCTGCAAGCCGATCAGGTTGAAGTGGGTCTACAAGGTGAAGCGGGACGAGCGCGGCGCCATTGTCAAGTACAAGGCTCGGCTCGTCGCCCGCGGCTTCGTGCAGCGTGAGAGCATCGACTTGAGGAAGTCTTTGCTCGGGCGGCGCGAATGGAGTCCGTTAGCTTCTTTGTTGGCGCAGCAATCGAAGGATTGGTGCGTCCACCCACCTCGACGCGTCAAAGTCTGCGTTCCTCAACGGTGAGCTCGCGAGACGGTCTTCATCAAGCAAGCTCGGGCCATTACGCCCTCAAGGCGCCGAGCACAAGGTGCTCAAGCGCGCAAAAGCGCCTACTGGTCAGCGGCAGACCCCTCGGGCGTGGAACGCCAAGCTTGACGCCACCTTGGGCGAGCTTGGGTTCACTTGCTGCGCCACAGAGCACGCGTTGTACACGCGACGACGGGGGAAGAAGGAGCTCGTCGTCGGCGTGTATGTGGACGACTTGATCGTCACTGTAGAGCGGGCGGAGGACATCGACGGCTTCAAGCGCGAGATGGCTGCTCGTTTCAAAATGAGCGATCTCAGTGCGCTCTCATACTACCTCGGCATTGAGGTGAGGCAGGGGAAGGAGCACATCTCCCTGGGCCAGCGCGCCTATGCGGAGAAGCTGCTGGAGTGTAGCGGCATGGCGAAGTGCAAGCCGTACGCAACTCCAATGGAGGAGCGGCTGAAGCTATCTAAGCACAGCATGGCGGTGAAGGTGGACGCGACGCGCTACCGGAGCATCGTCGGTGGGCTGCGCTACCTCACGCATACTCGGCCGGACATCACGTTCGCGGTCGGGTATGTCAGTCGCTTCATGGAGGACCCCCCCCCGCATGAGGATCACTGGACGGTGGTGAAGATGCTGCTGCGCTATGTCAAGGGGACGCTCGATCAAGCGATCATCTTCCCCAAGAGTGGCGGCAAGGGTGGGCTGCGGCTCACGATCTTCAGTGAGGCACCCCCAAGGCAAAGGAAGGTGAGCCGGAGCTCAATGTTTTCATTGACGCAGACATGGCGGGCGACATCGACGTGCGACGGAGCACCTCCGGTGTGCTCGTCTTCCTTGGAGCGGCCCCCATTGCTTGGTAGTCGCTGAAGCAAAAGATCGTGGCGCTGTCGACGTGCGAGGCGGAGTACATCGCAGCAGCCACGGTGGCGTGCCAGGCTGTCTGGCTACGCTGGCTGCTGGGCGAGCTGACTGGCCGCTCACCCGCCAGCTCTGATGGTGGATGACCAGCCCGCCATCGCCCTCACCAAGAACCCTGTCCTCCACGACCGGAGCAAGCACGTTGACATCAAGTTCCACTTCCTCTGGGACTGAATCGATGGAGGGCAGATCGTCATCGAGTTTGTCGAGACCGGTAGACAGCTCGTTGACATTCTCACCAAGTCACTTGGGCGCCTGCGGTTCATGGAGCTGAGGAAGATGATTAGCATGGATGAGGCATCGGGTTAGCAGCAGTATTAGGGGAAGAATTGTACATAATCTGCTGTTGATCTCTCTCTCTCGCTCCAGCAGAGTTGGCATTTGGTCACTTCATTGTCCTGCCTCTCTCTCTTTGTGTGATGGGCAATAGGCCACCTCTAGTACATTAGTTGGTAGCTATTACATCAGTCATGTCTTGGTAGTGGGCTGATCTAAGCTTTGTACTGCTAGTACTAGGAGTAGTTGGTGTACCTAGTTGGTGTACTCACCAACAGCTACGTACCTGGTAGAGGTACTAGCACTTGTACATATATCACACCTAAGGCAATGCAAAAGAGCAGTTCAGTTTGCCACATCCAGAAGCAGAGCTTTCGGCCAGTGCTGGGCTTGTGTTGTGTGTGTGAGCTGTTCTCAATATCTTCTTCTACCTCTAGTCATAGTGTGTCAAGGGCGTCGATGCCCAAGACAGCGGGTCCTCGGCTACGGAGCTCGTAGCCTTGACGGGTAATGGCATTGGGGTTGTTGCTCGGCTGCCCAATGGTGAAGGACGTGAGATTAGGAAGAAGAGAGAGATTAGGGTTGGTCATTCTTGCTTAATCCAAAGAGTGCCGATTACATGAATTATATAGGCCCGTGGCCTACTAACAAATGGAAACAAACTCCTTTATTCTAGCAATCCTTGCATGTCGATCTGCATGCCTCGCATGCCTAAATCCACGCCTAGCCACTCGGTCGGGCGATTGTCGCTCCCTAGACGCTTGCCGACGCGTCGCAGATCGGAGGCCCCATGACATCTCTCCCCCGACGAAAGCAAATTCGTCCTCGAAAGCGGAACGTGGGGTAGCGGGCGATAAGCCGTCGAGGTCTTCCCACGATCTCGATGAAGCGGGTTCGCCCTTCCGGTGAAACGAAGCAACCGTCGAACGCCACGGCAAGGCGAAGCGCGGCCGCGTGGCGCGGTCGGGCTCCGGGCCCGCCGCCCGTGGTGGATCGGCGGTAGGGCGCGCGGCGACGTCGAAGCGCGTTGCGACGAACTTCTTGAGAGGCCGACGTGGAAGACGTCGTGAAGGCGGGCGCTATCCGGCGCCTCCAGCGGTAGGCGACGCGTTGATGACGGCGGCGACGCTGCAATGCGCCCCCGTAGAAGCGAGGTTTAAGTTTGCCCGTTATCGAGCTTGGAGGGACGCCGCTGCGGCGCGCCGGCGGGCCGAGCGAACCCGGTCGCCGACGGCGTAGTGGACTTCCCTGTGGTGCTTGTCGTAGTAGGCCTTGTACACCACTTGAGCCTGCTGAAGCCGGTAGCGGACGTTGGCGAGCAGCTCGTCACGTTCCGCCATGGACTTGGCCACGGCTGCAACCCTGGTGTCGCCGGGCTCGTGGGAGCGGATCGTGGGCGGGTCACGGCCGTAGACGATCTTAAAGGGCGTGTCCTTGAGCGCCGTCTGGAACGCCGTGTTGTAGATGAACTCGGCCCATGGGAGCCAACGTACCCATTGCCGAGGACGATCATCGGTGAGGTAGCGGAGGTACATGACGATGATCTTGTTCGCGGCCTCTGTCTGTTCGTCTGATTGCGGGTGGAATGCCGACGTCATGTGGAGCTTGGTGCCCGTGAGCCGCATGAGTTCGCGCCAGAATGCCGACGTGAAGATGGGATCTCGGTCGGAGACCATAGACTGCGGGACGCCATGGAGGCGTACAATCTCTGCGAAGAATGCCCGAGCCACCGACTCCGCCGTGTACGGGTGCGCGAGGGGGATGAAGTGGCAGTACTTGCTGAAGCGGTCCACCATCGTTAGGATGACAGACTTGCCGCCCACGCGCGGGAGCGCCTCGATGAAGTCGAGGCCGATATCGATCGAGCATCGTCGCCGGATTCGGCGTGATAGGAGACCAAACGGTGTGCAGTGCTCGGACTTGTACCGCTGGCAGGTGGTGCAGGCGCGAATGTGATCTTGCACCGTCTTGCGAAGGTTGGGCGAGTGGAAGTCCCGTCGGAGGCGATGGAGCGTGCGCTGAACACCCTCGTGGCCGTCGTCGTGGGCGGCGGTGAGCACCTCGTGGAGCGATGGCGATCTTTGGCGGGATGTAGAGCGGCCTTTGAATGCAACGAGGCCGTCGAGGAGCGACGAGGAGGAGACGCGCGTACCCGCCGCCACCTCGTCCCCTCGAGCGCCACCAGAGCCGGATCGGTGGGCGTAGCTTGTCGGAGGCGGTGGTCGATGTAATCGGCGGGGGCCCGAGATAGCGAGTGGCGGCCTCCTCCGTGTCGCGGCGAAAAAAGCGTCCGCGCGATCGTGTTCGTGTTCCCGCCTTGTACTCGGCGGAGAAGTCGAAGCGAGAGCTTGCCCGCCCACCCAAAGTCTTTGTGGAATGGTGGCCAAGCATCGATCCAAGAGGAACTTGAGATCGAAATGGTCGATCCTTACCACGAAAATGGCGTCCCCACAAGTATGGCCTCCAATGGCGGATGGCGAGGACGAGGCCGATGAGTTCACGTTCAATGACGCCGCCAGGGCGCGCATGGCGTGGCGCGCGTCGGCTCTTTGAAGAACGCCAATGGTCTTTGGTCTGGAGGAGCACCTTCTTGAACTCAGAATCGGAAGCGTCGCACTTTCGGCACGCACGTAGCGCCGATTGAAGTCGGGCGAAGCGAAAACGCGCCGTCCACACGGCCGTCTTGAGGGCGCGCGAAGCCGCAGCAATTTTTCGGCGTCCGGAGAACCGTGCGAATTCCACAGCAAACTTGCGGTAGTACCCACCGTGCCGAGGAAGCCCCGGACCGCCCGTCTTGCGAAGCGAGGTCATGCGCGATCGGCCAACGCTTGGACCTTGGCGGGATCCATGGCGACACCCGCAGCGGAGATGATGTGGCCGAGGTAGGAGATCGATTCGACCCGAACGCACACTTGTATCGCTTCTGAAAGAGCCGATGTTCTTTGGAAGCGTCTTGAGGATTTCAGCGCGCACATGGCGAAGATGATCGGCCCATGACTCGCTGTAGATGAGGATGTCGTCGAAGAAGACGAGGACGAAGCGGCGTAGGAAAGGTCGCAGGACGTCGTGCATGAGCGCCTGGAACGTCGCCGGCGCGTTGCATAGGCCGAACGGCATGACGAGGAATTCGTAGAGGCCGTCGTGGGTGCGGAAGGCGGTCTTGGCGACGTCGTCGGCGCGCATCCGAACCTGGTGGTAACCGGAGTGCAGGTCGAGCTTGATGAAGAAGCGGGCGTGGCGGAGCTCGTCCAGTAGTTCGTCGACCACCGGAATCGGGAACGCATCCTTGATCGTGATGGCGTTTAGGGCACGATAGTCCACGCAGAATCTCCAGGAGCCATCGGCCATCCGGACCAAGAGGATCGGCGACGAGAACGCCGAGGAACTGTGGCGAATGATGGCCTGGGCCATCATCGCGGCGCATTGGCGCTCCAATTCATCCTTGTGCGCGCGGCGGGGTAAGCGGATGCGGCGACACAACCCACCGGGCGGATCCCGGCGAAGTTGATGAACGGTCGCGAATTCCGTCTTGGGAGGGCTCGGCGAAGACAGGGGCAAACTCCTCGAGGATGGCGGTGAGGAGATCGGCGCCGATGCAGGCTTGAATCGCAGAGCCTGTGGGAGCCGCCGTGCCGCACCAGTGCATCCGGCGGCCGCCACGCCAGAAGGACATGGTGAGGGCCCCGAAATCCCATAGAATCGGGCCCAGCGTTGCCAACCACTGGGTCCCCAGGACAACGTCGTACCCAGCCAACGACAGGGCGTAGAAATCCGCGGTGAACTCCGCATTGATGGAGAACGGCGCGTTGCGGAACACGGCGGGGCACTGGACGCGCTCGCCATTGGTCACTGAGACCCGCAGTTGGCCCTGGGTGAGGGTCGGGAGCATGGCGCGGGCGGCCGCCTCCTCGGCGATGAAGTTGTGCGTCGAGCCGGAGTCGATCAGGGCGAGGAGGGAGGTGCCGCCCATCGTGAGACGCATCTGCATGGTCTCATTGGTGCGCACACCAGCGATGGCGTGGAGTGAGATTTGGGGCTCCGCTAGAGTGGCCTCGTCTGTCTTAGATTCAGTGTCGTCCTCGGCCGCCGCCAAGTCGAGGAGGAAGATGCGTTGGCAGACGCGGTTGTGGCCTCGCCCAAACTTCTCGTTGCAGTTGAAGCAAAGGCCTAGGCGGCGGCGCTCCTCCATCTCATCTCTGCTGTGGATAAAGCGCTGACTGACCGGCCTCGACGGTGATCGGGTCAGGCGCTAAGCGCGGCGCCGTGTTAAGCCGGGCGCCAGACACAAGCGATGGCGCCGGTAGGATGCCCTTCGGGTGATCACGCCAGGGCGTGGTGGTGGCGCAGCAACCAAGCACACCGATCGATGGAGCTCCAACTTGCGGGCGAGGCTCATGGCGACGGCGAGGGACTGAGGGTTGTGGAGCTCGACGTCGAGGCTAAGGGGTGGCAGCAACCCGGCGGTGAAGATCTGCACCTTCTGGTCCTCGGTGAGGTAGCTCGCGCGAGGCAGGAGAGCTTCGAACCGACCTTGGTAGTCGATGACGGAGCCCGTGCGCTTGCATGCCATCAACTCGCCCAAGGGGTTGGAGCGCAGCGGCGGCCCAAAGCGGAGGTTCAGGAGCTCGGTGAAGCGGCGCCATGAGGGAGTGCCTTCCTGCTGAATTTGCATGAACCAGAGCTGGGCGTCGTCGTCCATGTTGTAGGACGCCATCTAGACTTGCTCCTCTGGAATGATACGTTGCTGGCGGAAGTAGGATTTCACATCGGTTGATGAAGATGAGAGGGTTCGACGTGCCGTCGTACTTGGGGAAGTCCAATTTCTGGAATCGTGGAGGCCGATCTTGATGGTGTTCGCCGGAGATTTGTCGCCGGAGGACGACGAGGGTGGTGGCTGTCGCGTGTCGTGCAGGTGCTGGATCGCCAGCGAGTTGGCTTCCACCGAAGCTTGCAGCGACTTGAGGGAGGCGGCCAGGGCGTTCAAGGTGGTTTGGAGGGCGTTGGGATCACTCATGGCGGTTGTGCGGCGTTGGGTGGGCGGCGCAGAGGAAGGGCGGGACGGCGGTGGTGGCGATGGTGGGCGGTTGGGTGAGGAAGGCCTGGAGCGTGATACCAGGTTGTCAAGGGCGTTGGTGCCCAAGACAGCGGGTCCTCGGCTACGGAGCTTGTAGCCTTGACGGGTAATGGTGTCGGGGTTGTTGCCCGGCTGCCCAATGGTGAAGGAGGTGAGATTAGGAAGAAGAGAAAGGATTAGGGTTGGTCATTCTTGCTTAATCCAAAGAGTGCCGATTACATGAATTATATAGGCCCGTGGCCTGCTAACAAATGGAAACAAACTTCTTTATTCTAGCAATCCTTGCATGTCGATCTGCATGCCTGCATGCCTAAATCCACGCCTAGCCACTCGGTGCCGGCGATTGCTGCTCCTGGACGCGCGGCCGACGTCGGTACTGGAGGCCCCACATGACATAGTGAGTGTGCTGGTAAGCTTACTGCTTACCTGTGCAGGGCAGCCGAGGGACCAACAAGAGAGACGGAGTAGTAGTCGAGATTCAAGAAGGATTTGCAGTCATTGGGTGCTGGCTGCTGGGGCTCGTCGGTGCTGGGTGGTGCGGGCACACGGCGTCGTCACTTCGGGTCTGCGCTGCCATTCCGGTGCGACGACGAGCCTGGCCGCATCTGAGGAGGACTTCGGTGTGAAGCTGCAAGCGATGAGTTGATGCGCTGAGTTCAGGGGGCGCGCTGCCGCAGCGGCAGCGTCGTGTGGCTCCGGGTCTGCCCCGCTGTGCCAGCGCGATGACGAGCCTGGCTGGCCAAGGAGAATTAACTCGGTGTGAAGATGCGAGCGACGAGTCGAGGGGGCGGCGGCGCTCGGGAGGAGTCGGGAGAGAGATGAGGGGTAGTCTGGAATTGTATTTCTCGTTGTTAGCCCGTGAGTTTTAAGTAGGCTGCTGTTTCTGGTTGCCCAAGAACAGAATGTTTGCTTTCCGATTCTTAGTTCATCCAAACAAGATCGCCCAAGAAATTAATTTCAATTCATCCCAATTCATAGGATCCAAACATGTACTAACAGAAGTTTGCTTGTCAATTTTCTTGATTCCATCCTAGTTCTTTTCTCTTTCCACTTTAAGTGTGGTAATTTGTGTCCTCATGTTGCTGAAAATACCTTCTTTTCTTTTTTTGAGCCTCAGCACCTGCCAGCCTCAGAGTAATCATCTTGAAGCTTGATATACTATGCTACACATCAATAGATTTTTCTGTGGCGGCTGCTGTATCTGAACTTGTTATTCCAGGATTAGCTGATCAGATGATTGTAATGAAGAGGATTATTGCATCAGAGATAACTGAACAAGTACAGGTATGTGTTGCTTAATGTCACAATTGATTAATTCCTTTACTGAAGCAGCACATACACATGGAGCATAGATATCTTTGTAGAACCACATATGGCTTTGGCTGTTACAAATTACTTGAAACCTAGGTCGGATAAAAAACACAAGATCTTTAGATATTGAAGTTGCTGCATGTTTTGGAGTTTAAAAGCTTTGTCACCGCATATTAAAAAAAAGGGCGTACCCAGTTCAGAGAGCTCCCGCTCTGTGCGTGGTCTGGGGAAGGGTGTCAGTGGCAAGCCTTACCCTCGCCTGTGCAATGCGAGGAGACCGCGACTCGAACTCGGGACCTTCCGGTCATAGGCGGTAAGACTCTACCGCTTGCACCAAGCCCACCCTTCCTTTGTCACCGCATATTGTGAAGATAATTTTGTTCTCGAACGATGCAAGAGATTTGTGTGTCATTTCATTAAGAAAGGGAAGAAAAACAAGGAAATGCTAATAGGTATCCTAGAGAAGTATATTTACAAACGCGCCATGTACATTAGAACCTAGGGATGGCAACAAGCACATTACCCACGGGTGGAGCCTACATGCACCCGCACTAAGCACTATGACTATTGAGAGAACAAGTTAAAAGGGGCAAGCATGGTCTTCTTTGTTTCATAGTCCTATATAGGAGGATCAGAGCATTAGAGCTCAAGTAGTTCTCTTACGACCTAGTCAGGGCCATTACTAAAGATGCCTGCCTGCTTCTTTATATGGAGAAACTGAAAAAAGAAACATAGGTGAGCGCTCTCTCTAATATAGACCCGTCTTCTCAAACCCGTGCCCATACCCGCCACCCGTCAATGTTATCAGATCGTATGATTGAGGCTACTCGTACCACTTCGGGTCAATTAGTTGGTCCTGGTCGACTAGTCGGACATTTAGTCTGTCTATGTGCCTAGATGGCTGATTAACCATGCATATATGGTGTAACCATAAATTGGCAAATGGAAGTGGCTGTTAGCAATGCTCCCTATGCATCATTAATATGTTCATTGCTGTCTTTTCTGCTTAATGGCAGCCTCTACTGCTGTCTTTACTGCTTGCTGGCATCCTCCTGGGAAATGTGTGTGCTTCCTTCAGTGTTGGGCGTCGCCCAGGCTCCTCCCCTGGCTGCTGCCCTCTTAATTCTAGTTTCTCCTAGCTCTGTTTATCTTCTATAAGTTTATTCTGTGTAAGATAACCTGCTGCGCTCTCTTGGTGTTTTGCTGCAACAGGAAGTTGGCAATAGGTCATTTCCTTGCTGTCCATCTATCTGTCCCTACTACTGTACAAGTATGGCAATAGACCACTTAGTCATGGCTGATGTAAACTAAGGTACAGGTACTAGTGTACCTCTGTAGTTGGTGAACTACCACCTCTACTTGTATATACACCAAGGAATAGAATGGAGAGAGTAGTTTCAGTTGCTGCACTTGTGTGTGTGTGTGCTGTATCTGTGCTCACCCCCTTCTTCTACCTCCAGTCGAGGGTGTTGTGTGTGTGTTGAGGTGTTACTCACCTGTGCAGGTCAGTCGGATCCCAACAAGTGGTATCAAAGCCACGGTGATCGCCGGCGATGCTGAGTGGTGCGAGTGGTAGTGGGGACAGGACTCCACCCGCCTCCTCGCCGTGGCAGTCCTGGTCACTGCAGCGACAGGAGATTGTGGTGAGGTGGGCGGCGCAAACTGGCTAGTCCTCACCTGCACCAACTACGACGAGTGGGCGGTGTTGATGAAGGTGATGCTGAAGGCGAGGAAGCTTTGGCGCGTCATCAACGTCGGCATTGAAGAAGAGGAAGACTGCGCGACCATGGAGACGATCCTCAAGGCTGTGCCGTCGCAGTATGTGGAGTCACTAGGAAGCAAGGACTCCGCGAAGCTTGCTTGGGACGCCCTCAAGGCCATGCATGTCGGCTCGGACTGCGTAAAGAAGGCCTGCGTAAGGAAGGCAAAGGCGCAGCAGCTTCGGCGGGAGTACGAGGTGCTGGCATTCCGCGACGGTGAGGCGGTGGAGGAGTTCACACTGCGGTTGCAGTCGCTGGTCAACCAGCTCGCGGTGCTTGGCGTCGTCATTGGCGATGAGGTCGTCGCCAAGTACCTAGTGGTGCCCGCCAAGTGCACGCAGATCGTGCTCTCCATTGAGACGATGATCGACCTATCGACGCTCTCCATGAGGAAGTGATAGGGCGCTACTTCTAGCTGCTAGTGGACGATTGCAGTCGTTTTATGTGGTTGCAGGTCCTAGCAAGCAAGGATGAGTGCTTATGGCCCAAAGCGACGCGGTGACCCCGTGCGTAGCTTCAGTGCGCTTAATGGCATTTTTGGGAGCCTGCTAACACCACAATTTTTTTTAGAAAAGCACAATTGTTTATGGACAGTGACATACCAAACAGAAGTACAAAAAATACCAGTCTTAGCATAGCTGACATAAAGTTCCACTGTCAAGGACACAGTTTCTAGAGATGGCAGAATATAGCGTATTACACATAGATCTAGTTACGTTGATTAGTACGCGTGTCACAGGACACATAACAACAACAACAACAACAACAACATAGCCTTTCAGTCCCAAGCAAGTTGGGGTAGGCTAGAGTTGAAACCCACAAAGAGCCCCTAGTCACGGTCACAGGAGCACATAGTTTAGCTATATTTTTTAAGGGAAGTTGCAGTTGCTCTTGAGCTTCTCTTGATCACAATGATTGGTAACAGAGCTTCCAACTTCGACTGCTTCCAACTTCGACTGGACAAGCCATCGCTGCCAGACTCACAGCTCCAAGCTAGGGAAGAAGCTGCCTAAATCATTGGAATTGAGGTCAGTGTTTGATATAGTACACCCAATGCTATCATTGTCATCTGGAAGGGAGGATCATAGGATGTGGTCACCGTTTGAGGAAGCTGAGCAACTACTAAAACAGCGATGAGGCATAAAATAAAAGAAGACAAAAATACTGTGATGAGGCTGTCGGTCACATTGCAGGGATATGGTTAGTTTTAAAAAAATAGTATCACGGCATTGAGATGAGATGGATAAATATATATTATATAACTTAATGCAAGTTTTCTAAGAAGAGTCAACTCCTTTCACTACCCTGCATGACTAATTTTGGGAGCAAATTTTATTCATGTTTTAAGGAGACTATTATTTTCTTAATCATATTGATATCTAATTTCTTATCTAGAAACACCAATGCATCACATGTATTGATATATCTACAGAAATAATGAATTATGAGGGAGGCTGGAACCAAAAGGCACATATACACAAAGATTGAAGTGATGATAGAGGAAAGGAAGAACTCAAACAAAATGGAAGTGGTAACTGGAGATGCTACAATCAATGCAAATTAGGTCGATAAATATTGAGTGTGCGTGAACAAGGATGCCCAATCTAGCAGACTTTGGCAAGCATCCTGATAGGATCCACGTATCAATATATGTGTAAACATAAGAATAAGACATGGTAAATATGCATATGTGCATACAGTAAGCCTAAAAAGACTAAAATAGAATTTACCAAGATGCTATCATGGCTATAGATATGCTACATATCCAGCATAGGCCAGTCAGCAAGTTCAATGAGAATTACATATATGATAACTGACTTAATCAGGAAATTTTATGAAAGGTGGGATTGTTGAATAACATTCTCCACTTAACAATACCGCAATGCCATGCTGAAATTTTGACCATGCTTGGTTCATTTCTGAACTATGTATTTTTTCTGGTTCTTTTTTTTTTCCTCGAACATCGCAGGAGAACTGCGCGTCATTTCATTAAGGTAGAGAAAGAATTACAAAGGTCCAAGTGACCCAACACACACACCCCACTCCCCATAACTAGGTTACTGACTCGCCACACAAAAAGGAAAAAAAGGACGACCAAACTTCTCCAAGCATTAAGCTCCAGAAGGCAATAACTGAAAAACCAGCTCTCGGGTTTGGAGGCCCCGGCCGAGCACCGAGCCCACCCTCCGAGCTAATAGCCCTAAGGACTTCCTGAACACTTGGCCTCTTATTATCAAAGACACAAGAATTGCGATGCTTCCAAATCTCCCAAGCCACCAAAATTATCAAGGAGTTGAGGCCTTTACGCAAATCCTTAGGGACAGCCGCAGATTGTTCTCTTCCACCACCACGAGAAACGAATCACAGTAGGCTGTGGTGCCAACTGTAGCATTCCCAACTGATGCAAAACCAGGGCCCAAACTTGCCGGGCAAAAACACAGCCCACTAGCAAATGGTTTATTGTTTCATCCTCTTGATCACATAATGGGCAAGCCTCAGGGATGGGGCAGATTCCTCCTTGCAAGTCTATCGGTTGTCCGGACCTTGGTTGTGAAATACCAACCAGATGAAGAACTTGCGGCAGGGAGGAGCCCAAGTTTTCCGGATCCTTCTCCAAGACCCAAACTTGATGGTTCCCTCAAAGAAGGCTGCATAAGCTGATTTATTGGTGTAGGAACCATCCTGAGTTAATTTCCATCTATATTGATCTCGAATCTCCGGATGCAAAATAAATCCATCCACAATGTCCCAAATACGAAGGTACTCAAGCATGACCACAACTGTACGTGCTCCTTTAATATCCTGAACCCAACTATTATGATGCAAGGCTTGTGCCACCGTCCTTCTCTTGGCTGTTTGATTTGGGACTGCCTTGAACAGGTTAGGAGCTATTTCAGCCATGGTATGCCCCCACCATCTATCTTTCCGAACAATATCTCCTTTCCATTTCCTACTATGGCATCAATCGCAACATTTAAGAGAGCCTCGGCTTTATGAGGAACAGAGATAGGAAGGCCGCCCAAGGCCTTTCAAAGATCTGTCTTTTAAGCCCTACAACCACCGAATCTTGATGCACATCCCGTAAGTTCAAGATTATGAATCCCAAGACCTCCATACTCAAGTGGTCTTTGCACCTTTTCCCAAGCTACTAGGCAATTGCCACCATTGGCTTTCTTGGTGACCCTTCCAAAGGAAGCCTCGCCGTTTTTGTCAATAGCCTTAATCACACATTTTGGAAGGTCCAGGCGCTTAAAAGGTATATTGGGACAGCAGTCAAGACAACCTTCACCATGACTAGCCGCCCACTCTGTTCATAAGAGAAGCCTTCCATCCGGGGAGATAATCTGCCACTTTATCCACTAAAGGTAACAGCACCTCTTTAGTTGGTTTTCCAATTGAGAGCGGGAGGCCAAGATACATGCAGGGGAAAAACTTTATAGAACATGAGAGGATGTCTGCTTGTGAGAGCCAATTCCTCATCAAGACAAAGTGAATAGGGAAATCGAGCTCTTAGCTAGATTAGTTCTAAGCCCGAAGCATGTCCAAACAGATCTAGGAGGTGCTTGATGGTGATCGATCCAAATTATATGGTCTCGGGAAAATTACCGCGTCGTCGGCATAAAGGAGACCCGATGCCTTGCTTGCTTGAATGGCCGAGGCTGCAACAAACCCATCAAGTAGCGTGATTGACCAAAGAATTTAGGACATCCATAACTAGAATAAACAACATTGGTGACAAATGGGTTACCCCTGTCGAGCCCACGGTGATGGAAAATAGAGTCCCCGTGCTCTCCATTAACCAAGACTTGTGTCGAAGAAGTGGTCGAGGATCGGACAAATGAGGTCCCGCCATCGCTGACCAAACCCCACCTTGCACATGACCTCCAAGAGAAACGACCAAGACACGTAATCAAAAGCCTTGGAGATGTCCAGGTTTAAGGAGGATATGTGCCTCTTTCTTCTTATGCGGGGTTTTAACCATCTGTTGGACCAGCATGAAATTGTCATGGATTTTCCTTCCTCTCTCACAAAAGCGCTTGATTTTTGAGATCAAGGAAGGCAGCATAGGGGCTAGCCGATTAGCCAAGATCTTCGTCACCAACTTGGCAAAGCTATGAATCAGGCTTATAGGTCGAAAATCCTTCACTTCCACTGCATCCACTTTCTTTGGTAGCAGGGTTATAAAGGCTGTGTTCAAGAGCCGAAATTTGAAGACATGGCCTTGCTGGATGGCCTCCAACGCCCTCCTCTCCCTCTTCAAGAGCCGAAATTGTCATTTACAACGTACAAGAAGTCAAGAACTCATTCATATCGCCACCCTTGATAATCATTGGCACACATGTTCATTCTAGGCCTTCTGAATTTGATTCTCAGTAAAAAGGGGGGCAGACCCAGCGCCGGAGGCTCCCACATGAGTGGGGTCTGGGGAAGGGAAAACTGAGGCAAGCCTTCCCCCCGCAAAATCTGCGGAGAGGCTTCTTCGAACCCGTGACTTAGCATGATTCTCAGTGTATTGGTGTATTATGGATTGGACTTTAATTACTTCTAAATAAAAAAAGAAGTAAAACATACTATTTTCAATCTGTGTGGGCAATTGAGCAATTGATGTTCGGTATTTTCTTGGTTGCATATTTCTTTTTCAACGCATACAAGTGAAATCAAGTTCTCTTAATCATTAACACTGATTCTTTTAGTGTGTCATTCATTATAAACATGATCATTAAATGCTTTAATTTCTTATTAGAATGTTTTCTCAAACGCTTCTTGACTTTGTTTGCAGCTTTGTCCATTCCATTTCATTCCTTCTGGTTTGCATGTTCCGGTAACAGCGATATACAATACAAGATATGGTGAGATCGAGGAGAGGCAAAGTATGAAAAATTCTATTTCTGGAAAGTTCATTTTCTTTCATGATTTCATGAAGCATGGGAGTGAATATGGGGCCTTAATACTGCCTCTATATCTCTATACCTAAAAATATCCCTTATTATTTACAGGTGAGCTGAGAAAAGAACTGCATATAAGGCTAGGACTTCCCTTAGATCGGCCTTTGTTGCGAATTTCTAATGCATTGACTTTTGGTGGCACGGGAAAGAGGAAGAAAAGCATGCCAAGAAGTGGTATTCATCATGCATATGTTGCAACATATACTACATTACTATGTTTTACCCCTGAATTACATGTGGGATCTTGCAGTAACTTTGTGCAAATTTGTTTCAGAGTATAATATATATAAAAACTGCAAAATATCATATTATACTGTGTGAGAAGCTAATAACATCATCTAACATGAAGATAATAACTTATCTTTGTATATGTAATACTGTGCTAGTTAAGGCTTTCGTTATGTTTTCACATGCAGGTTCTTCGCTGCTTCGAGACGTCCACAGAAAAATTCCATCTAGTGGTGGTTAGTTCTATCTCTATTTCTTGCTTTAAGCAAAATAAGAAATTTGGTGAATGTATTCTTGAAGGAGATAGTGATGTAAAGTTTTATGTTTATTGCAGTATCTGGAGGTGTTATGTCTTTGATTGATGGTTCGTATGAGTATTATCATTACCTTCACGATGGTATTGATGACAATGTAATGTGATGCAGACAGCCAATCTAATTTTCAATTGTTTCTTCAGTGTTTGTTTAGATGGATATGATAATTTGTAGCTCTGCCTGGAAATTTCCTTCCCCAGACCTCAGTGTGTGGGGGATTACATCTTACATTATTTCCTTGATGAATGCATAAGATCAATTTTATTAAAAAAATGTCTTTCCCTTCTAGATTGTTTCCTGTAGATGTTTAGGTGGTAAATTATATTAAGGTTGCTTTTGCAGTTTGTTTTATTCAACCTATATAGTGATTGCTTGCCAACCTTCATAATCATAGATCCATATAGTCCCATCGATATATGATGTTGGTTACTGCAAATTTTGAACCCAAGTGTGATGAACTTGCAGCACAAAGAAAGGTTCTTCTTAATGCAATGCCCGGGAGCTGTCTTACCCCTACGCCACCCATAAACAGTGGCACCGTAGCCCATGTGAGAACAACCACGAGGCCTTAGACCTATGCTTTGGCGTGGGACAAACGAGGGGATTTTTTTAACCCCAGCCTGAAATTCTCTCCCACGGGGTCAAATTCTAGTTACAACATTACTAATGCAAATAAATTTCAATTGAAAGTTTGATGGTGTTAATTGCATAGTTCATGTACTTATATGATTAATACGGATTGATATTCCTCAATATCTTCAAAGTTCAAAACAAGACAGTTTTTACTCGAACACGCAAGAGAGCTGCGTACCATTATATTAAGAAAAAAGGGCAAGAACCCTTACTAAACACACACACACACAGAGATTGCAATGTAGACCTTTTCATGTTTATCCTGATTGCTATTTTATTTACTCTCGACATAGTGATAAATAAAATGCAGTCTACAGTTTTCTGTTGGTGTTTGTATATTTGTTACAAAAATCATTAATTGACCATAGAATACATTCAGAGGATATGCCTGTTATGATTTCTTGTGTATATTTCTTCAGTGATATGATCATGTTACAAATTATAATGTTGCATTTCAAAACTTCCTTTCTGAAATTGCCCCTGTTAGGCCCAGCATTGGGCTTTTATGAATTTCCTCACTATTTTGTAGAAATTAAACTGTTGTTCCCTCTTTTGGGTTGGCAAGTCTTAGTTCTCTTTCAATGTTTCAGGGATGGGGATGTGCATATCGGTCTCTACAAACAATTGTCTCTTGGTACAGATTGCAACAATATTCATCAATAGATGTTCCTTCTCACAGGTTTGTGCCTATTTTCCTTGTTGACTTGAATAACTATAACTTGGTCATATTGACTGCAAACTGACCCTAGGATTATGGTCAGTTGATAATTCTGACTTTCTGGCATTAGTATATCTTTTTTTTTTTTTTGGAAAACGCAGGAGAGCTGCGTTTCATTGTATTATAGAGAATGAAAAGGGGGGGGTCCCCAACAGGATCCTCACTCATACGGGGACCAAATATGAATGAGGCGATTACACATACACAAGAATAAGACCCATAAAAACAAACCCGACACGACCTTAACTAGAAGGACCTAGTCTGAACAAACCTAGCCCTTCTAGTTTTTTCACACCAGCCAAACACCAAAGGCTGTGCTCATTCTTCAGCTCACTCGAAATCAAGTTAATCGAAGGTGAGGCCCCCTCAAAAACACATGCATTTCTATGTTTCCAAATAATCCAGGCCCCAAGAATAATTAGAGAATTCACTCCTTTCCTGTGCTCCTTGTTAACTCTGTTAATAGTCTTGCGCCACCAATCAGCAAAGCTTAGTTTGTTATGGTGGGGGACACAATCTGCTAGGTTCAAAATAGAAAATAATCTAAACCAAACTTGTCTTGCCACCACACAAGATGTTAACAGATGTTGTATTGTCTCATCTTCTTGATTGCATAGGGGGCATTTATCCGGATGAGAGAGGCCCCTCTTAACGAGCCTCTCTGCCGTCCAACATCTATTATGGATTGCCAACCACAGAAACATTCTGCATTTGCTTGGGGCCTAGGACTTCCATAACCGATGCCAAGGTTCAAAGGTCACAGTACCACAGAAAAACGCTTTATAGGCAGATTTGGAAAAGTAGCAACCACTTGAATCTAGCCTCCATGTGTGACGATCCTCTTGGTCAGTTAAGGTAAATCCCAAGAGACAATCCCATAGCTGCAAGAATTCTCTAATACCAGTCCAGGAAAGGCCTCCTTGAATATCTCTTGGCCATTGCACATTGGTGAGAGCTGCAGCCACAGTCCGGCTATTGCGAATTCTAGGAGAAACACAAGCATAGACAGATGGCGCAAGATTTTCAATCGAACACCCGTGAAGCCACCGATCAGTCCAGAAAAGAGTATTCTGACCATTCCCAACCTCAGTCATGACTGCAATGGCAAAAAGGGCTAGCGAGTTAGAGTGCGAAGGCAGTTCCAGATCAGACCATGGACGATCAGCTTTAGTCTTTTTAAACCATTGCCACCTGATTTGTAAAGCCCAGGCCATCACCTCCAAGTTGGGTATGCCCAAGCCACCAAGATCCAATGGTCTCATGACCTTCTCCCAAGCCACCAGACAACAACCTCCATTAGCCTTATCCTTTCCTTGCCATAAGAAGCCCCTTCTGATTTTGTCTACTGCCTTGATGAACCATTTCGGGACGCTGATGGCAATTAACAAATGAATAGGCATGGCAGAAAGAACACACCGGACTAATGTGGCACGACCAGCCCTGTTCATGAGAGCTGCCTTCCAGCACGGGAGTTTATCAGCTATTTTCTCAATCCATGGCATAAGGTCCCTCTTAAGAAGCTTTTTGTTTGACAGTGGTAAGCCCAAATACTTGCATGGGAACACCGAGATAGTACATGGCAGAATATCATGAATAGCTGTCAAGGACTCTCCTGCACAACCGATGGGGATGATGTTACTTTTCTGAATATTGGTATGCAACCCTGAAGCGTCACCAAATACCTTGAGAATATCTCTAGTGACCAGCAACTCCTCTTCAATTGGCTTAATAAATATGGCAACATCATCAGCATACAGAGAAAGTCTTTGTCCAGCCACCCTTGGGGATAGCAGCTGCAACAGCCCCTCACTTGCTGCCTTTACAAATAAACTGTTCAGCACATCCATCACTAAAATAAAGAGCATGGGGGATAAAGGGTCCCCTTGTCGAAGACCTCGCTGATGATGTATTAGATCTCCCGGTTCTCCATTCAACAAGATTTGAGTTGATGAAGAGGATAACAGATTGGCCACCAAATTGCGCCAAGAATTTCCAAAACCCAAATGTTGCAGCACTTCTAAGAGAAACGGCCACGACACCGAATCAAAAGCATTAGTATATCAAACAATCAGAAATGTGCAATTCTATCTGCATGTTGCATAAAGAGGAGGATGTGCTAAGTAAATCAATATAAAGCCTTATTACAAGACACCATCTTGCAATCTGCACCCATGAAAATTCAGAAAATGAACATACCTGCATTTCAATATGTGTCAAGAAAGCATCATGCATGAAAGTCCTAATGATGTTACCAACAATGTGAATCAAACATCCCTTTCGACCATTATTTGGTTCCTTCGTTTTGTAAGGGACTAAGGGCAATGTTTCCATACCCATTCCCATATGCTACAAATGTTAGGCACAGCAAACTGTCACGCTGCAATTTATTTGTCAATATTGACGTGACCATATAATGTATAGTTTGAACAAATGCTTTTTAGTAGAAACATAGAGGAATCTTGTATTCTTGCCTGTTATTGAAATATATGATGTCAGTTTGATTCATATTGCTGTTCCAACTCCAACATTCCTATTCAGGGAGATTCAACAAGTTCTTGTTGAAATTGGTGACAAGGATTCATCATTTATTGGATCTTGTGAGTGGATTGGAGCCATTGAGCTAAGCTTTGTCCTCGACAAACTGCTGGGCGTGAGTTTTCACTATTCTTTTCTTCATGATTCTTTTCAACCTGGTGGACTGTTAATTTACTTTTCTCATATGTATTATGTGCTATGAAGACTTGTTTGGCATGTAAGCAACAGGAAGGTCACATTATCTACTGCCAAAAACTCACAAATGTTTGACAAATAGTCCGTAACAAGCAAACCAGAATTTGGTTAGCAGATCTTAATTTCTGGCCCTTGGCCAAACAACACTGATGTACTGCCTCAAAAACATCTGCTCCTGTGATTTACTCCTTACTTTTTTTTTTTTTTGAAAACGCAGGAGAGCTGCGTTTCATTGTATTATAGAGATGAAAAATAGGTTGGGTCCCCAACAGGATCCTCACTCATACGGGGACTAGATATGAGTGAGGCGATTACACAGAGTCATGGTTTAAACACATAGCAAACAAACACGACTCGACCTTAGTTAAAAGGACCTAGTCTGCAAGCGCCAGTCCTAGCCCTTGAAGCTTCTTCGCCCCAGCCATGCTCCAGAGGCTGTGCTCGTTCTTCAGCTCACTCCAAATCATGCTAATCGAAGGAGAAGCCCCCTCAAAAACACATGCATTCCTATGTTTCCAAATAACACAGGCCCCTAGAATAATTAAAGAGTTCACTCCTTTCCTGTGCTCCTTGCTTACTATGCGCATCGTCTTGCCCCACCAGTCAGCAAAACTCAGTTCGCTTTGTCGGGGGACTGAATCTGCTAGGTTCAATGGAGTGAACAATTTGAACCATACTTGTCTTGCCACCACACATGATGTTAAAAGATGTTGTATTGTCTCATCTTCTTGATCGCATAGAGGGCATTTATCCGGATGAGAGAGGCCCCTCTTAGCGAGCCTATCCGCCGTCCAACATCTATTACGGATTGCCAACCACAAAAACATTTTGCATTTGCCTGGGGCCCAAGTCTTCCATAGCCGATGCCAAGGCTCAAATGTCACAGCACCACAGAAAAAAACTTTATCAGATTTGGAAGAGTAGCATCCACTTGCATCTAGCCTCCATGTGTGACGATCCTCTTGGTCTGTCAAATTAATTCCCATGAGGCAGTCCCATAGCTGTAGGAATTCTCTAATACCAGTCCAAGATAGGCCTCCTTGGATGTCCCTTGGCCATTCCACGTTGGTGAGAGCTTCAGCCACAGTCCGGCTTTTGCGGATTCTTGGAGACACAAGCAATGACAGTTGGCGCAAGATTTTCAATTGAACACCTGTGCAGCCACCGATCAGTCCAGAAAAAGTGTATTGTGTCCATCCCTACCTCTGTAGTGACTGCAATGGCAAACAGAGCTATCGAGTTAGAGTGCGATGGAAGTTCCAGATCAGACCATGGACGATCAGCTTTAGTCTTTTTAAACCACTGCCACCTAATTTGCAAAGCCCAGGCCATCACCTCCAAGTTGGGGATGCCCAATCCACCCAAATCCAACGGTCTCATGACCTTCTCCCAAGCCACAAGATAACAACCTCCATTAGCCTTTTCCTTTCCTTGCCATAAGAAACCATTTCTGATTTTGTCCACTGCCTTGATGAACCATTTCGGGACGCTGATGGCGATTAACAAATAAATAGGCATGGCAGAGAGAACACACCGGACTAACGTGGCACGTCCAGCCCTGTTCATCAGAGCCGCCTTCCAGCATGGGAGTTTGTCAGCGATTTTCTCAATCCATGGCATAAGATCCCTCTTAAGAAGCTTCTTATAAGATAAAGGTAGGCCCAAGTAATTGCACGGAAACTCTGAGATTGTACCCAGAAGAATATCTGGAATTGCTGCCAAAGACCCTTCTGCACAGCTGATGGGAATAATATTTGCTTTTCTGAATATTAGTTTGCAATCCTAAAGCATCCCCAAACACCTTGCGAATATCTCTAGTGATCTGCAGCTCCTCTTCAAGTGGCTTGATAAATAAGGCAATATCATCAGCATATAGAGAAAGTCTTTGTCCAGACACCCGTCGGGATAACGGTTGCAACAGCCCCTCATTCCTCGCTGATGTTGTAAGAATTCTCCTGGTTCTCCGTTCACTAAGATTTGGGTTGAGGATGATGATAGCAGACTGGCCACCAAATTGCGCCACGAATGACCAAAGCCCAAATGTTGCAGCACTTCTAAAAGAAATGGCCACGACACCGAGTCAAAAGCTTTTGAGATATCCAACTTAAGAAAGAGGCTAGGCACCTTTTGTCGATGTAACACCTTAACTGTTTGCTGCACTAGGATGAAGTTATCATGAATGCATCTTCCTCGTATAAATGCGCTCTGATTAGTAGAGATCAGCGAGTCCAAGAAAGGGGCCAGTCGATTAGCAAGAATCTTAGTTAATAGTTTACCGAAGCTGTGTACTAAACTGATGGGGCGAAAGTCTTTCGCAGCCAATGCATCTTTCTTCTTCGGGATCCGAGTGATATAAGCTGCATTTAACAGTCCAAGCCCCCTAGCATCACCTTGTTGAACAGTGATAATTGCCGCCATGAGGTCTGCTTTAATCACCTGCCAACATGCCTTGTAAAATCTGCCTGTATATCCGTCTGGGCACTCCTTACTTTTCTAAATGGTTAATGAAGCTGCCTGGGCATACCTGCGAGCTGAGAGGCAGTGTAGCTATCAATTGGTATTAGTAGGGTGACAAGGAGCGATCGTTGCAGGTTCTACCACAATTGTGGATGATTATGAGGGTAGGGATGACCGCACTAGAGCACAAACATGCGAACACCATGGGGAGGTCATGCTGCAACGGGTAGTCAAAGGAGGTTTGGGGACCATTTGTCCTGGTCAAAATTCAATTACAATGTTGATAATCGCGATGCTTCAACGATTGCAACCTTTGGGGAGTGGTTTATGTTGGATAAATAATTTGTTTTCTTAAGTAAAAAGGCAATTTGGTTGACTACTGGAGACATGCACAGCAACAGCTGGGAGGATCTGCTACTGTCCTCTAGAGGCTTCATGTTAACTGCTGCAGTAGTGGTAGACTCAGCAGGGCCAGTGAAGGAGCAAAATTGGTTTTGTATATGTATAAGCTAAAACATAGTTGTTGCTAGCCGTGTCTGAGATGTACTAGCACTGTAGCAGGTCGGTTACTGTAGTAAACCGACCTGAATGCATATATAATGAGGGTACTACAGCCAGTATGCAGACGACACCATTCTCATCTTGAAAGCTTCCCAAATGGAACTTTTCACTCTAAAAGGACTGCGGGACTTCGAGTCAACTTTAAAAAGTCTTGTTTGGTGCCTCTAAATCTCTCTCCTGAGAAAGCTCATCAGCTGGCTGGGGTTTTTGGATGCAAACATGAATCCCTCCCCTTTGTTAGTCGCTGAATTCTTACTCTCATCGAGAGAGGATGACACTAGGAGTTGGGGCAATTTTCTGGTTTATTTCTCATACAACTCATACAAATGCCATGCCAATCTGAGGGGTTGGGGATACATATTTATATGCTGCTAGCCAGCCAAGCATATGCCAAGATTCTAGTCTAAGATGCTAGTCTAAGATACTAATATGCTGTCCTCTAAGATGTTGTCCTAGCTAAGATGTTGCTGCAGCCAGCCCCACAAAGATCAGCTGCAAGGATGCTGTCCTCTCAGTCAAGATGCTGCTGCAGCCAGCCCCACAAAGACTGCCAACAGAGACTTATCCCATCACCCTTCACATACCTTGGATTGCCGATGGTCCCCTTAAACATACCTTGGATTGCCAAAGGGCACCACCAAGCCAAGAGTGTAACACATCAGATTCATCATGAACAAAGTTGAAAGAAGACTTACAACGACTTCAAATTTTCTCTCATGCTGAAGACTGGAGCTAGTGAACTCAGTCCTGTCCTTTCTTCCTACCTACGTTGTTATGACCGGTGTGACCTACTAGCGCTGGACTCGTGCAAGTGGCTAGGGGTCGCGTCGGCATAGGGGCAGTCATCCCAGGAGAGATATTTTCCCTTTTAGATATTTCCATTTAATTCCTAGAAATCAGAATCTAGATTGATTTGTTAGGAGAGGATATATGCCTCCAAACTGGTTTGAGTTAATTAAGCAAGGCAATAATCATTGCGTAGCCTCAAGGGCCGCCCTCATCACGTGTCTCTCTCTCTCCCGAGCCCTAGATGTGCCGCCGCCCTACACTCACGCCACCACGGCTCCTCATCGCCGCCGAGGGTACTGACCTCAGCCTCCCACCTACTACCCCTACGCACTATGCAGCCATTGGTAGGATCACGGATCCTATCAATCTGGTATCGGAGATGCCAGGTTCTGGTGATGAGGAGACGGCCCAGCTGGTGGCAGCAGGCAGTGCCGCCGCCCGCCCCCGACGCCATTGCGAAAGCTCTCGCTGACATCACCCAGCAGCTGGGCAACCTCAACACTCAGGTGGCGACCGTGGAGAGCCACCAGGCGTCCTCGTCGAGCGCCATGCCCTTGGGTTTTCCCTCCGGGATGCCGGGGTACGGCATAACTACTTTCTTCACCACCGCTGCCGCGCCGACCACCCTACCTGCCGCAGTCACCACCACCCCGCTATCCACCACCCTGCCCGTTGCAACTACCGTCGCCACGCCATCAGCTCCCCTCCCCATCCACCTCGTCAATTTTCCCTACTCACCGTCTCCGCTGCCCAACTTCTCGCTGAGGTCCTCGAGGGCGTCAGCCATGCCCTCGAGGCGCCGGCAGTAGTTGGTGCCACGGAGGGGTCCCCCTAGGCGAAGGTCCAAAACTCGACGTCGAGGTGGACGGCGTGCGTCTCCACGTTCCACGTTCCGCAAGAACTGCGACTCCACGGCCAGCCACACCGAGCGGGTGGAGAAGCGGGAACGTAGCACCATGTCGGATAGCTAGGGGGGAATGGCGCCGTACATCCAAGAATGGACCACGCAGTCCATGCGCGCCTTGTCCCGGAAGGCTGGGTCGCGGTCGCCTCGAAGAACATGGTCCTCGAGGGCAAACTTCCCCTAGGCGAGGAGGAACAGCTCGTGCCACCTGGTGTACTGGCTGGAGGAGAGCTCGAGGACGATCGGCATGACAGTGCGGATATTCTAGACGCCGACGGCCTGCGAGTGGAGGTTGGCGAGGATCGCGGCTTCGTGGAGAAGAGACGGCGTCGTGGAGGGAGGGCGGAGGGGGCGCTGGGCTGGGGTGGGGTGCACATCCCCCTCAGGACAGTACTCAGCAAAATCTGCATATGAACATCTCTTTCAAGGATCAATTCTATTTAGACCTTGGGAACGGATTTGGAAGACCTGGCCCCCCGGAAAATGCAAGTTCTTATGGTTAGTCGAACATGACAAGTGTTGGACAGCTGATCGTCTTGCCCGTCGAGGTCTGCCCTGTCCGGAATGTTGTCCTTTATGCGATCAGGAGCAAGAGACAATTAACCATCTTCTAGTATACTATCCCTTTGCAAGGCAATACTGGTATTCCCTGCTATGTCAGGTTGGGCTGCAGCAATTCGCTCCTCGGGCAACTGATATGGTGTTCGATGATTGGTGGAACAGACTGGCATGCTGCTCCAGAACAGCAAAAGAAAGGTCTCAATTCTCTGGTTGTTCTAGGTGCTTGGGTTCTTTGGACTCACTGCCGTTCTTGTGTTTTTGACGGAGCTGCTCCTAGCATTGCAAGGGCTCTTAATGTTAGCAGCGAGGAACGGCGTCTTTGGGAGATAGCAGGCACACGAAGCCTCTCTTCCTTGACTACCCCGGCACTTTTGCCTTAGAGTAGCCTAGTTGTTGGTTTTGTGGTCGTCTTTTTATATTTAGCAGGCGAAAATGTAATCTAAAACTTTAGTTTGGTGTGTCTAGAGTGTGTATGGGTGTTTGGGTTCTTGTCCCGTATTTTCTTCTTAATATAATGAAGCGCAGCTCTCCTGCGTTTTCGAGAAAAAAGACACAAGATAGTTGATTGATTATCAGGGATATGAGGTTACACATATATATGCAAGGATGTCCTAGGTTTATAGAAACAGAACCAGCGGGGGATCCTTGCCTATTAGATAACAATCAATCAATCAATCTCAATCTATCTTAACCATATAAGCACTAGGCCTGTCTAACACTCCACATCATTGTCTTCACCTCCGCTCTACACCCTGTCCTTTCCTTCGTGCCATTGTCTCCTCTGCCCGGATCGGCCTATCTCTACTCTAAATCGGTCTTCCCTGCCTAGAATCGGCCTTTCTTCGCCCCATCTTCTTTACTTTTTTTTGGCGAGGAAGGTCGTCTTTTATCTAGATGAGAGGACCATGATATCGCGCCTCGACGTCCATGGCGTGTCAGTCTATGGCGATGTCTCTGAGCCTAGACACATCCACGGCAGCCACAGATGGCTCGGGGGTAACCTTGCTGCGTGCAGACGTCTGGGGTGGTGGCATCATTGCACGCGTGGACCAGCAGTGAGGTGCTGGTGGCGAATCACTTCTTCCCACTGGTGATCCATCGTCACCAGGACGTCCTGAGGCCCTCCCACCCATCACTGATGGCAGCCTCAACACCAACCTCACTATCAGTCCTCAGCAGTGAGGTGATCCGGCCGCTAGGCATCATCGTTGGCCTAGCGCGTGACAAGCTTGAAGAGACCAAGGCGGATCTGGTGCTCGCGAGTTCGCGGGAAGCATCGACTGCATGTGGTGGGGAGGGAAGATGGTGGAAGTTTGTTTATTCATGGCCGGTTCATAAGCATATGGACTACTGTAGACCTGACACATGTGAACTGCTTTAAAAATTAGCACATACTCCCTCCGTCCCATTGAAAGTGTCGTTTTTTACTTTTAGACTTATTGTTTGACCGTTCGTCTTATTCAAAAATTTTGTATAAATATTATTTATTTTGTTATGACTTATTTTATCATTAGAGATACTTTAATAATGATTTATTTATTTTATTATTTGCATAAAAAAATTGAAGAAGACGAACGGTCAAACAAGTATAAAAGTAAAAAATGACACTTTCAATGGGACGGAGAGAGCTTTGTATATGGACCACTCTGGTTGGTTTATATACCCCTTTTTGTACACAACATTGGGGTGCCCTTAGGCAGGACAAATCCACTCTATTCTTGTGTGAGCTTCCTGGGCATACCTGATTGGGAGTGTAGCTACCATTGTTCACTTCACATCTTGTATTATTATGTCCGTACCGTATCACGTGCTTCCATTTCTGCTGAGCAGAAACTGCATCTTGCAGGTTAGTTGCAAGGTTATCAATGTGAGATCTGGCGATGAGCTTCCTGAAAAGTGCAGAGAACTTGCCAGGCATTTTGAAACCCAGGGAACTCCTGTGATGATTGGTATGTGCTTTTGTGTGTAGAGTCTAATATTGAACGTGTTATAACAATGTTAAGATGGCTACAGTTGATTCTATGAATATTAACATAGAATTGGCAAATCCAGGTGGTGGAGTCTTGGCTTACACCCTTATCGGAGTTGATTATAACGAAGCCAGTGGCGACTGTGCATTTCTTATCCTTGATCCGCACTACACTGGTACTGACGATCTGGGAAAGATTGTAAATGGCGGATGGTGCGGATGGAAGAAGTCTGTCGACAACAAAGGCAGGAGCTTCTTCTTAAAAGACAAATTCTACAACCTCCTACTACCCCAAAGGCCAAACATGGTGTGAAACCTATGGTGTTCAATATGTAACTACTGCATGCTACGAGGCACACACATGTTTATGGTTGTGATAGAGGTTTATGATTGTCGACGTTATATTATTTTTTAAAATGCCTCGTAGATTGTAAGTTACGATTTGTAAAGTTTTTTTAATGAGACATTTATATTGTTTTTATAAATATGTAGTGATTAGTAAATTTGTAACATCCTAGAACTTTGATTTCTGAAAATAGTTTTAATTTGATCTAATTATGCAATTTTGTGTGCATTAAATATAGGGGAAATTTTCTTTAGATATAAAATCAAATATAAGGAAATAGAAACATGAATGTGCATACATGCTGGTGCATCTATTTTTGTGATGCTGTTTTTGGTTTGAAAATCAAAACATGATTTGAATTTGAGTTCGAAAACGATTTCTAAATAAAAGAAAAGGAATTTCTTTTAAACCCTTGACCCGTCATCACTGCAGTAATGATCTCATAGTATGGCCAGCGAACGTGTCCTTGTTCCCGGATGTAAGGCAAAGAGCCGCTCCCACCGCCTAGGGTAGAGCCGCTGCCACCTGCTTGCTTCTTGCTCCGTTGCTGCGCCCCTCTTCTTCTCCCGTGTGTCTTTCAGAGGCAAGAATGAGAGGGGACATATCTTTTTTCTGCAGTATTCTAGTGTTTTAGGATTGATTCTAAATAAATTATGAGCGAAAATAGATGATTTTCGGTTGGGATTGTGTGTCCTGTGATGACTCGGCGATTGCCACGATAAGATCGCCGTTGCAAACGTCGATTCATCGGCAGACAGTCAATTTGTGGCCTTTATCTATAAGGAGAGGGATGCTTCTGGGAGCCCTGATTTTATCGGCAGGTGGCCAATTTGTGGCTTTTATCTGCAGGGGGAGGGGTGCTTTTGGGAGCCCTTACGAGGACAACGACTTTGGGTCATTGATCTCATCGTCGATGGTCGTGGAGAGGAAATCAAGGTCTCGAGGTGATGATTCTTCATCCTATGTCGTACCTAACGATGCAACTGTCGATATTCTTTTAGCGATTTAGATACGTTTTGGATTGGTTTCGAAGTGTTGGATATTGGGGCATGTCTAACGTTTTGGGGTTGGTCGTTGGATTGGCATAAGGAGTGCACTTTGGCTCTGGCGTTCGAGAGAAACCATTGGGGGAAAAGATGATGTTAGGATCTAGATAGAATATTATATATTTTTTATTTTCGATTTTTCCATGTGTAATTTGAAGATCGACTGTGCCAAGATTTAATATAAGTCTCCCTTCCCTTGGCAAAAAAGGGTGCGCCTCAGCATATCATAGATAAGACTGGGAATCCTCAAATCCTTGCTAAACACATGGTGTGTTGACGAGATCCTAACATAGGGGTATGATAAGCCTCAGGATCAAAGGTTCCTGACCGAGAGACCTCCTGACTGACCCTTCCAGGATTGCCTGGGGGCTCAGGGGCTATACCCATTGGGTACGCTCGAGCGTACCCTCCGACAAAGGAATCAGGCCACTTCTGCTCATGACTCGGGGGCTTGTCCAAGCCTCAAGCTCCCGATCGACGGATGTCTAGACCCAATCCTTGGCTCCCTCCCAGTCTTTGGCGCCAGCCAAAGCTTGAGCACGAAAAGGTGCGCCCCGAGCCACCAAGGCTTGGGGGGCTCTCCAGCGCTGCCTCGTCGGCATGGCTCTGTCAATCGCTCCTCCGACAGGGTCACGCACGAGGTGTGACACAAGAAGACAAACTCATTCGCTGGCTTTAGGGGCTCGGGTGCTTCCAGACCCACGCGTCAGCCCCTCAAGCCGATCTCCTTTGCCACCAAGAAGCCTCCAGAAGGTGCACCTGGTGGACACCGGTCCATGCCGACACAGCCTGACACTCAGCGTGTCAGAACTTCAGCTCTACGATATCACCACGGTCCACACGGCGCCGCTGCAAGACCCTCCTGGACTCTAGCGCATGTAGACCATAGGCTCAACTCCCCCAAACCGCCATGTACCCGACCTACCTCGATATATAAGGGGAAGGTCGGATCCTAAGAGGGGGAGGACGATTCCACGCAGATCATTAGAGTCCTCACCATTCAGCTCACGCTCTGCACCGAGAGCAGAGCAACCCAGAGAGGGGCACCGAGAGCTCCTCCACCGCATCCGTCGTCTTCCTCCTCTCTGGCGAGGGGGAAGGCTCCACCAGCGGTGAGGCATCCCAAGGATGAACACCCCAAATCTCTCTCTTTCTCCCTTACACTCTGTTGTAACACCCTAGATTTTGGGTGCTCTTGAGTATAAGGATCATTAGCTGCTAGACGTAGGGCACCGATGGCCCAAACTAGGATAAACCGTTGCGTCTCCTCTGTGATTCTTGTATTCTTGAGTCCACCCGAGCCACTAGAGACACACACTCTAACACTACCACGAACAACAAATGCTTGCCGCGGTTTCCGACCCGCGACAGCTGGCGCGCCAGGTAGGTGTTGACGGTTACTAATGTCAATCATAAACCGTCAATATATCCTACGTATATGATTAAATGAATCACCAACATAGATATAGTGTTTTATGACTGCAGGAGGATTTAAACAGAAAATAGGTAATGTGGACCATAATGTCAGAGCAAATCACGATCATCCACGACAAAACTGACTTAGAGGACTCCTAATCCACTATAGAAGACAAACCGCCGCAACTCGACCCGAACAGTCAGAGGGTGGGGCCGGCTGGCCCGACCTGTAGGCCGTCTAGCCTCCCAGGCCCACCTAGCGGCCTCCGTTTCAAACGCCGGTTCTCCATCGCCTCTTAGGATCAATCTACGTCATGGATTAAGGTCGGTTTGAATCAAGGGCCAAGATAATGAGTTGTCATGGATTCATGGGCCCATAGGCTGCGTGATGACCCTTATAAAAGGACCCCCTACCTCCTCCAGAAATGAGCAATCAAGAGAAAAATAGCTCTCCACATTAGGTGCTACCTTTGTAAATAGAAAATAGTGAGATAGAGAGTGAGGAAAGAGTTTGGATGAAGTGTCGGTCTATCAGTGCTCTCTCTCTCTACAACTTGTACCTTGACAGATTCAAGTTCTACTTGAGCTTGCTTCTGAGACATCTCTGGTATTCAATTTCTGATTCAAGTAAGTTTTGTGTTTATATTGTTCACTAGGATCACGTCTCTTTTGAGTGATTTAATCCTTGTAGCTCTTGGGTTAAAGTAGTAATCATAGTATAAGCGTGGCGCTTAGACTTCGGCTACTCGTGGATGCACCCTACATTTCAGATCGGTGGTAGATCACGAGGGTAATAGCCTCGTTGAGTCCTTTGTAGTCCATCTCCCGTCTATAGGCCAAGTAGGACCCGATTACTACAGAATAGCATACTCTTTTTGTGCTTTCCTTAGTAATGTCCCCAGGTGAATACTAGAATACACAGTTTACCCAAGTTAGAAATAGAGAATCTTAGTAGTCGTCTCTATGCTACTGTTTATCCTCAACCTTGTTGATATCCTTGGTTAAGTTAGATTTAGTTAAACTCACACACGTTTTCCTGAGTTCGATATTCTAGAATATTTTCGGTGAAAGCTATAGCGGTATCCGTACGCTTGCGAATTAATTTGTGTGCGTCTAAAATATACCAACAAGCTTTCTGACGCCGTTGCCGGGGAAATGGTTGTTGTATTAACTTCGAACCTAGCTTAACCTTGTATCTTTTACCTTTTTTTATAATGGAAACTACAACTATCCATCAATATGCTACACCTATGAGTGCATGCCTAGACACTACTATAGAAAGCTAATCACCGCCGGCTCCAGAACCCCCATTACCGATGCTTTTGCCCCCTGTTGGTGAAAGTCGGTGGTGATCGGCGACCTTTATCTCTACCGGTTGCGCGCCGGTGGTGACGATGTGTTACCACCGTCGGTTCAACGTACCATCCGACAGTGACGATATGTTACCACCGCTGGCCTGGCGTACCATCCGATAGTGATGATGCGGCCATCGACGCTGGCCCGGTGTACCCACGGTGATGATGCGTACATCGACGCTGGCCTGACGTACCATCCGACGATGATGATGCATCCATCGACGCTAGCCTGGCGTACCGTTCGGCGGTGATGATGCCTCCATCGACACTAGCTCGGTGTACCATCCGGTGATTATGATGCCTCCATCGATGTCGGCCCGACATACGATTCGACGGTGATGATGTAACCATCGACGCGAGGCCGGCGTACCATCTGGTGGTGATGATGCAGCCATGAAAGGTCCTAATGGCTAGAGGGGGGGTGAATATCCTAATAAAATTTCAACAAGAACACTTAACAAAAGGATTAGACAATTATGAGGCGAAGCGAGTTTTGCGCTAGCCTACCAAAATGCAAGCCACCTACCACAATTCAAGTTTAGATGGAGTATATCCACACAATAGCTATATCACTACACTAAGTTAGTGTGCTCTCAAAGGCTAACTAAAGAGCCACACTAACCAAACTAACAAGCTCTCACAACTAATTACACTAAAGAGCTTGACAACTAGTTTACGGTAATGTAAAGAGTAGGCAAGAAGGTTATACCGCCGGGTAGATGTATGAACCAATCAATCACAAGTGTGGATAACAATGAAGACCAATCACCTCGGAATCAATATGATGAACATAATGATTTTTACCGAGGTTCACTTGCTTGCCGGCAAGCTAGTCCTCGTTGTGGCGATTTACTAACTTGGAGGTTCACGCGCTAATTGGCCTCACACGCCAAACCCTCAATAGGGTGCCACACAACCAACACAAGATGAGGATCACACAAGCCACGAGCAATCCACTAGAGTACCTTTTGGCGCTCCGCCGGGGAAAGGTCAAGAACCCCTCACAATCACCACGATCGGAGCCGGAGACAATCACCTCCCTCCGCTCGATGATCCTCACTGCTCGAAGCCGTCTAGGTGGCGGCAACCACCAAGAGAACAAGCGAAATCCACAGTGAAACACAAACATCAAGTGCCTCTAGATGCAATC